AAAGTTCTGGAAAGTCCTGGTTTGGGATCTGAAAGGAAAGACTGGATTTTGATGGATGGCTTTTGTTTTTTTTTTTTTTAATACTAATTAATCAGAACTGATATATAACTGACCTTTTAATGGATTTTCAAAGGCAATAAATCACACAGGAGAAGAATGCCCATCTTTCTCCCCAAAGGAGCTTGTAGATTCAAACCACATACCTGTGCACAATTCCTTGCCACTAAGCCACCAGAGCTCCCTTTAAATGAATAGAGAATTGGAGAAGATATTATAGGCTTTCTTAAAAGAGGCCCTTAGGTCATTGACCCAGTGGTGCAAGCAGTTAATCTTTCACCTACTAGTGAAAAGGTTTTAAGTTTGACTCTTCCCGGCAGTTCTGCTGCACTCTGCACTCTTGGGACTGCCATGAATTCCGGTGCCAAAGGCTCTTCTAAATCCAGCTTGAATTTCTGGCAGTTCAGTTGATCTAGTAATTTTTTATATTCTTCAGCAAACTTTTGCTTGCATGTGCTGGTTTTATAATTCCCACATTCTGTTGTACCGCCTTTTTTGGGGTATGGCATCACAATCAGAAGACTTATCAATAACTTGTATTATGCAGATGACACAACCTTGCATGCTGCAAAGAAGGAGAACTTGAAATGCTTGCTCCAGAAGATCAAAGACTGCAGCCTTCAATATGAATTACATCTCAGTATCAAGAAAACAAACAAAACAGTATCAAGTCTTCCTCCAATCTGGAAGTCAGCCGGCTAAGTGAGCAGGGATTGCTGGCACCTCCATGGCAGCTCCTCTTGGTGGCAGTCAGGCAAGCGGTAACTCGTGGTTGCTGTGAAGGCAAACAGTGTGATACTGATGAGTCAAATGCAGGAATGGTTACTCATGGTGGACAGTGTTTGGTGAAACTCCCTGATTAAAACAAACTTTGAAGCAGGAGTGGCATCCACTTCCATAATAGCTTGCCTCTGGAAACCCTACGAACCTGGAGAGAGAACAAAATTTATACAGGAGGTGTCCAGGACTTTTGTTCATAGGGTCACTATGAGTTGCCTGTGACTCGACGGCACTTAACAACAACATCAAGAAAACCAAAAATTCTCACAAATGAACCAATAGGCAAAATCATACTAAATGGAGAAAAGATTCAAATTGTCAACAATTTCAACTTGCTTGGATGTACAATCAACATCCTTAGAACCAGAAGTCAAGAACTCAAAAGATATGTTCCATTGGGAAAATTTGCTCTTTGAAGGACTTTTTCAAAGTGTTTAGGAGTAAAGATGTCAGTTTAAAGACTAAGGTGTACCTGATTTAAGCCAGGGTTTTTTTTTTTTTTAAATTAATGAAAGAAAAGTTTACAGAGACTTTGGATTTCCATTCATTCATTGTTGCACTTTTCACCCTGCCCACCCCTCCCTACCAATTTGCTCTTCGCTTTGAAAAGTAAAAGAAAAATTCTTTGTTATACAATCCCTCCCATGAGGTCCACTCCACTATGCTGCCTTCATTCTGGACTCCTGTCGTAACAATAATAACTCATCATATATCCCTTTTAAACAATTCTCTCCCTTATCTGTTTCAATGCAGTATACATTATTTATCCCCTCTTTCTCAGTCTCCCCTCAACCCCTATGTCAGTCCTCTTTTATAACAGTAGCATTATGCAGTATTTGTCTTATTGTGACTGAGATATTTCCCTCAGCATCCTCCAGGGTCATCTGTTCTGTATAATATTTCATGAGTTCCTTGTTTTTCAGTGCAGCATAGTATTCCATTTGTGAATGTACCAGAGCTTTGCTATCCATTTGTTTGTTGATGGGGACTTGGGCTGTCCCATTGCTTGCCATGCAGCTCAAAGTTAGAAAATGAATAAGGATGACAGAAGAACTGATTTCTTTGAGTTGTGGTGTTGAAAAGAGGTACCAAATATCCCATGGACTACCAGAAGAACAAATAGATATGTCTTGGAGAAAGTGCAACCAGCATGCTCCTTAGAGGCAACGATGGTGAAATTTTGTCTCGCATACCTTGGGCATGTTGTTGCTGATTGCCTTTGAGTTGAGCACGACTCACAGCGACACTAAGAACAAAAGGCCTGAATCCCCTCTACAACTATCAACATTTATTGTTTAGGAAGTGGATGCCACTTCTGCTTCCAAATTTGTCATAGTATGTTATTGGTGGAGTTCCCTGCGATGCATAGTGACCCTATGTACAGCCACTCTGAACCCTTCCCTGTCCTGAGCCAGTCTCTAATTCTGACACACCAACAACCATTGCCCTAGTTACTGTATCAATCCATCTCCTCCTGGGTCTCCCTCTCCTTCCCTGTTTGTCCACCCTTCTGAGCATGATGTCCTTCTCCAAAGATTGATCTCTCCTGGCCATGTGCCCAAAGTGAGGCAGAGCTTCAAAATCCTACCCTCCAAGGAGAAACTTGACTTCACCCTCTCCAAGACAGACCTACTTGTTTTCTTGGCAGTCCATGGTATGTTGAAAACTCTTCTCCCGCACCACAACTTGAAGGCATCTATTCTTCTGTCATCTTTAGTCATTGTCCAACTCTCTGAAGCATAACAAGTAAATGAGAAGACCATGGCCTGCATTAGGTGCACCTTTGTATCTAGTGACACTGTTTCTCTTCAGCTTTCTGGAGAGGTTCATGACAGCAGATTTTCCCAATGCAATTTGTCTTTTGATTTCCTGACTGCAGGTTTTAAGAGTGTTGACTGTGGATCCAAGCAAGCTGTAATTGCTAACAACCTCAATCTCTTCTTTGTCTTCTTGATGTTAAGCTTCAATCCATATTGAAGACTACAGTCCTATAGTCGCTGTGACTCAATGGCACATAACAATAACATACTGTTAGGTATGGAAGCAGGAGCGGCATTCACTTCCTAAATAATATGTCACCGGAAACTCTATGAACTCTGATTACCCACTTACTGTGCTCTAAGGGAACAAATGTACTGTACATAGTCTGTTGTTAGATGGCTTCAAGTTGGTTCACACTCAGAATAAAATATTGCCCACTCCTGCATTCTGACAACCACAGGCATGTTTAAACCCTTTCTACAACCTCTGTCTCAATGCATCTCATTGAAGATCTTCCTGTTTTTCCCCTGGCCATCTGCAAGATAATCTTCAGATTATCTGGTTCTTTTAATGTATATACATAAGATGTTGATTATCTAAATGGATCTGCATTTTCAGAAACAATTCAATAAAAGCATAAAGCAGATAAACACATGTTCTAAAGGCTGGATAAAATTCATCCATAAATTTACTTTTTGGGTTGGGAACAGGCATATCATGTGAAGGAATCACAGTACATTTTAGAAATCAAGCACATTTTAGAAGAGGTATTTATTTATTTTATTTATTTGTCCTGGAAAGGGTTAAACCGGGTGGCTCCTTGGAGGCAAAGATTCTGAGGCTCCGTCTAACATACTTTGGACATGTTGTGAGGAGGGACCGGTCCCTGGAGAGGGATAGCATGCTTGGGAGGGTGGAGGGACAGCACAGGAGAGGAAGGCCCTCTATGAGGCGGATTGATTCAGTGACTGGGATAATTGGGATGGGAGTGTCAAGAGACAGTGCAATTGGCACAGGACAGAGCGGAGCTTAGGGCTGTTGTACATAGGGTCGCTATGAGTGGCAAGTGACTCGACGGCACATAACAACAACAACAATTTATTTGTACCAATACCTAACTTAATCCAGCACTAAGAAAGTACAAGAAAAATTGAGAGGAAGGAAGCGGAGGAAAGAGGCGAAGTCAAGAGCTCCCAGGAAGATCTCCATTAGCATTTCTGCTCAGTCATTAACAACATGACTGTATGAATTGACTAACTTCGTTGAATGACAAGCACAAATTTCTAAGTGTTGAATTTTTTTAAAAACCTACCTTGTCGGGTTTTAAATTTATTACTTTTTTTTTTAAACTATATGGTACATTTGTAGGCATAGGATTAAACAGTTGCAATTAAAAGGTCACAGTGAAGGTCTATTTAGTTGGAGAACGGAAATTTGGACCTGTTCTGATTTACTTACACATTCCACTTAAAGACACTTCGGAACGGATCTCATTTCTAACCTACGGCCTGCCTATGTTGTTATGTGCCGTCAGTGAGAACCCATTCGTACTGACTCTCCACTGGGTTTTCCAGAGGCTGTAAATTGCACGGGAGGGAGGAGACTGCTCATCTTTATCCGTCCGAGCAGCTGGTAGTTTAGAACCACGTGCCCTTGTGTTGGCAGCGCTGTCACTCACCCCTTGCCCACCAAAGCTGCTTAATACTTATACAGCACACTTAAACAGAATTATCAGTATTTTTGCTTGTTCCATCATTATAAATCCCGTTTTTGCTGAAATGAAAGTAAACTGCCCAGAAAAGGGCAAAAATGACACTTAAAGGAATTTTCTTTCCTGCTCTAAATTCTGCTGAGAAGAGTACAGCTTGCCTGCCGCAAAATCTCTTATCTCGGGGGAGCTCTGGTGGCCTAGTGGCAAGAAACTGTACTGCAATCCCAGAGGAACACGGTTCGAATCCACCAGACGCTCTGCCGGAGAAGGAGGCGCAATATCCTCCTGTACCAGTAAGATCTGATTTGACGGTACACGCACACAAAATAATAACATTAAAAAAAAAAAGAAGATCTCTTATCTCTGGGCATGAGTACGTGCCACCACCACAACCCGGTATAGAAAAACCAACTAGATAAACGGTGCAATAACATCCACACCGGCTTAACAAAGGAGCATGCGCCAAAGAGAAAGGCTCGGGTTTCGCGTCGTCTCGCGGGAAACTCCTCGTGTGCCACGTCAGAGCCTGGAGAGCCGAGCGGAAGGATAGGTGCCGGAACTAACCGGTCGCGGAAAGCGATGGATGCCGAGGCGTTTCGGAGGGCAGGACTTCCGCCGGAAGGAGGACTAGTGTCAGTCGGCTGTTAGTTCATTAAATTAGGTGCTGCGGTTGCTAGGGTCTCAGGTGGAGATGGCTTGCGCCGCTGCTCGGAGCCCTGCTGACCAGGACAGGTAGGTTCGGGGTGGTGGGTCCTGAGGAAGAAGGGGCGTGCTGCGAACCCGCTGAGCTGCACCGCTGCCCTTTGAGAACGGCCCTCCGCCGGTGGAGTTCGGTCCGGCCGCAGGCTCTGTGCTCCCCTCCACACCTCCCATCCCATTTCAGTTCCTAGAATTCGGGGTTTACGTTAACGTCTGTAACACCGTCCATTTCTGTGTACGAGCATTGCAGTCTCTGGAACTGGTCACTTTATCTGTACAATTACAGTGTTATATTGCTTTTGTCGTGTGTGTATATGTATTTTTAACTTTGCTTTTGTAGCAAATGTAATGGCTCTCCACCTACGAGGAAATGTTTTCTTTGTAAGTAAAAGGGAGGCATTTTAAAGAAAAGAAATAATTCAGTACCATAGATGTACTTGTAGTCATAACTAAACGAGTTTTTGCAAATAGAGTTTTGGTGATGTCATCTGTGCTTTTCTTGTGTCAGGTTCATATGTATCTACCCTGCTTATTTGAATAACAAGAAGACCATCGCCGAGGGAAGGCGCATCCCTATAAATAAGGTGAGGGGATAACTGGCGTGAGGATGACTCCTGATAGAGACACAAGCATTTCTTTTCTTTATTACATTTCTTTAGGATCTGAGAAGAATAGCAGGTAAGAAATGGGGAACCTTCCTTAATAGTGAAACCAGAACAGAATGAAAAAGATTTTTAAAGCAGTTCTTCCTGAGTATGTATTTCTTCTCATGTAAGTGAGACTCTGTAGGCCTAATACGTTTTTGGTTTTTTTAAAAACCCAAGGTTATTAACCATCTCCTTTGAAGAAAATAAGTTAAAATCCTGGCATAATATGATATAATGTCCAGGGTGCAGTGTTGTTGTCATTATCTGCCGTCAAGTCCCTTGCAACTCAGATAAAACAGTCCTGAAACTTGCTCTGTCCTGTGTCAACCTTATTGTATATGACACACCGAACCCCGTACCCCAGTCACTGAATCACTCATCTCGAAAGTCTTCCTCTCTTGCACTGTCCCTCCACCGTTCTAAGCATGACATCCCTTTCCAAGGACTGGTCCCTCCTGGCAACATGCCCAAAGTATGTCAGACAAAGCCTTAGAAGCTTTGCCTCCAACAAGTAGCCTGCTCTCACCCTCTCCAGGATGAACTTCTTTGTTCTCCTGGCAGTCCATGGTATATTCAACACTCTTCTCCAGCACCATAGCTCAAAGGCATCATTTCTCTTTCTATAATCCCTAGTTATTGTCCAGCTTTCTGACACATAGCAAGTAATTGAGTTTGTAAAAATACACACTAAACAATGGAAGGAAAGTTGGATTTTTTTTCTTTTTTCTTCATTTTAATTGAGATTTTAATGAAAGTTTAGAAAGTGGATTTCCATTCATTCATTGTTACACATTTTCCTCCCTGCCTGCTCCCTACCCACTTCACTTTTCTCTTTGAAAAAAATTCTTTCATTGTTGTCTGGTTGCCTTCCCAGTCCACTGTTGGAGAGTTATTTTTGTTGAGTTTATTTTGTTTTGGTGCTGGAGAACTACAAATGTACTTGGTTTTTTTTAAGAGCTGTCGAGTCAAGTATGACTCATAGAGACCCTGTGAACAATCGATCTGAATACTGTCTTATCCTGCACCATTATTAGCATCCTAAAAACATTGCTGCAGACATTGTATCAGTTCATCTGGTTGAGGGTCTTCATCTCCTTCACTAATGTAGGATGCTTAAAAAGAATTTTATTTTCTTCTACTGCTCTTTGGTTCTTCTCCAGATTTCTTGGCACAACTTG